CTGATCTGACATGTGATCGGACAACATGTTTACAACAACGGTGTGGTAGCAGGCTGATCTTTCGGGGTTGCTAGCACCATCGTCAGTGTGCGAGGATCTTTTCTGAATGCTCCAATTGTTCTTATCACCCCCTCCTAAGCAATGTGACTGGCAAGAATATTTCATCAGGTGCATGTTTAGCTGCTGGATTTTATAACACATAGAATTAGTTCTTTTTATATCATGGTTGCTCTTGAAAACAGCAGAATCTTGTTTTGTTTTTACAAAACATTTAAAGCACGGAGCACCGTTGTTCTTCTTACAAGCAGTTGTATGAGAGCTTGGAAAGCAAGAGAGCAGGTGGCAGAGCGCCGATGACAAGCACGATCTCCATGATAGCAACATCTTCTTCAGCTCCATTCGAAACTTTTGACCGGTGGCACAGTAGAGGAAGAAGTTGGAGGAGTGGTTGAGGAACATCAGCATTTCTGTGAGGGTCGAAGCTAGCAGGAGGCTGCAAAAGTTATAAAAATCGATAGAAAATAATTATACAAACAAATTCAGAAGACAAACTGAAACATTAAAAGCTTTTTTGGTCTGTAATTTTATTCGAATGTTGCGATTTGTTAAAATGAAAACATTGAGCAACATTAAATCCTAATCAAAATTTGGTTGAACATGTAAAAAAAATTTCAATAACTATACTTTGCATGCGTATGTGATTGGTCATCATTGTAGATTCCAGCACCACCCTCACTGCTACTAATATTCTTTCCAAGTGCATCTTCATCTGCGCTGCCAGGTGAGGACAACAGCTCCGAATGTTTGCTGTAATTGGACCAGTAGACGAAGAGGAAGTAGATGTTCCTGGGCAGAGTCATGAGGATGAATGCGAAGGAGATTGTGAGCAACATGATACTAAGCATGCGGTTTGTTTCGTTCTGTTCCATCCTAGATGCCTGCTCAACTGATGACAATCTGCTTGCTGATTGGTGGGTTAGTTTGGCTTGGTGGCGATGCTGCGAACTGTGGAGACCACGTACTGTTGAGTGATCTGCAGATTGATGGTTGTTCGTGCTTGGGCTTAATGACGTTTCAACGGTTGAAACTGCCACTTCGCCTGGTTTTGTCGGGTTGTTGCGATGATTCTTTGATTGTCTCAGTATTCTTCTTAACAAATTGTCAGGTGGTGTTGTGCAAATAGTTTGTTCTTGTCGTTTCAGTTTAAAATGTTTGGAAATAGCATAGGAGTTTTGTTTATGTCTTAAAGTTTGTTCATCCTCCAGATTGTTTTTGATCATCACTGAAGTTTCGTTGTTTTTTGTTCCAACTTAAAAAATGAAATCAATTAGTTGCAACTATTATGTTCATCAGATGAAATTTGTTTAAATTCACAGTTAAGTTCATTTTCAAAATCTTTATAAAAAACACTTTTTATTCAATTCTTTGGTATTATATTCAAATTGAATTACTTTCACGTTCTATAATAATTTTCACAAGTAAACTTTAATTTATATAAGCCAACGAAACGAAACAAACCGCACGCTCAGCGTCATGTTGCTACAATTATTATTTGTAAGATAAAATTTGTAGGCTGACTTTTTATTTTTGAAAATTTCTCGTTGATTCGGATTAAAAATTCATAAATTTTTGATATCTGACGGAAAGCGGTTAATTCGAGCACCGGTAAATGAAACTTGAGTTTTTTCCAGGGAAGACCGGCAATTAAGAAATATTTTGAAATTAAGGGAACCGGGAACTAAAATTTTTATAAAAAGGTATTATGCAATAAATTCTAAAGGTAATAAAATAACTTTCTAACCTAAAAAACCAAATGAACTTAAGATTCGGTTTAATTTTAAACGCTCAACTATAAAAACAAATTAAAAAAACTTCGAAAGCTCTAAATCTAGCTCTTAAATTTTGTAAAAAATTCTTCTGAAAATTTGTATTATAATATTTTAAATTGAAAAACCAACGGAGCTTTTTAAAAAAATATACAAAACTTTCATTCTAAGATATATTTTAAAACATATTCTGTTACTTATACAATCTATAACCTATGACATTTTTAACTTTCTGCTTGTGTTTTTAAAAATCCTGTACAAAGTTTATCTGGATTTGATAGCTGAATTTATGATAAAAATGAACCTAAGTCGCTAATTACCAAATTCAAACTTTATAAAAAAACACATAAATAGTCTCTAAATTTAGTACAACGCCCTTCTGATTATTGCGCCATTATTTATTGAAGCAGAAAGAACTTTCCATTTAACTAACACATTGGCAGGCAAAATTAGATATATAGATAAGTGTCAAAACTTAACAGCTTATTAAAAAATATTTCGGACATACAAATCGTATCGAAAAATAAATTGGTTAATTAATAGCTTCCTTCACAGTGCAAACACAGTGCCGCTCTCACACATGCTTTATATACCCTCCCTTTCATCTTCACTGACCATTTCTTTCCACACAATACCCCACCCAGTTCCCTAAATTTCAACCATCCCACACGAACTCTTGCCGTAACAGCGCTTAAACATTCTCCATCCGCGTTCAGCTTAACCCCTAAATAAACAAAGCTTTCCACTCTTTTGATACCACCACTCAACCCCGTCCTTGCGTCCGTCCGATTAATCACACCATGAACACATTTCTTACATTTGAACGTGCCTTCCACCTTTTTCAGTGCACCCCCTCACACCACTACATCTTTTATGCACCCATTTCTGACATCCTATACACAATATCGAGTTAGCCTTCACACTCCTGTCACATACCCCACAGGCTCGCTCCCCACCTTCCACACTCACCATTACCTTCGTTTTACCAATATTAACTTTTAACCCTTTTTTTTGATAACACTTTTCCATCTGTTAAATTTTAACTGCAATTCTTCTATGTTATCAGCCATCAAGACTAAATCATCTGCATACAAAATCTCAAATAACAACCCCTCCATTATGTTTCCACACACAACATCCATCACAATTGCAAACAAAAACGGTGATAGCACTGATCCTTGATGCACTCCTACTTTAACATTAAAAGCGTCCGACATATCCCTTCCGACCCTCACTTTTGTCTTCGCCCCTTCATACAGCTGCATCACAGCTTTAACAAGTCTCTCATTCACTCCTTTCTTCCTCAACGCCCATTCAATGACCTTCCTCGGTACTCAATCAAAAGCCTTTTTCTAGATCCACAAAACACATGTACAATCTTCGTTTTTTCTTTCTATAATTCTCCTGCAACATTCTCACTATGAACAACGCATCCACCGTTCCCATACCAGGCATAAACCCACACTGCATTTCATTAACTGTCACCATATTTCTCAACCTTCTCTCAAGCACTCTCTCCACTACCTTCATTCCATGCTCTAGCAATTTCACACCCCTATATGACCCACAATCTCTCACATCTCCTTTGCCCTTATACAACGGCACCAACACACTATGTCGCCAATCCTCAGGTATACCTTCATCATCCAACATACTGTTAGCAATTCTCATCATAACTTCAAT